GATTATAATTGTCTGGCTGAGCAGGTAGCCGAATGTTCGGCCGGCCATTGTGGCTGCCCGAGTCCACGAGGTCAGCCTGAACAGTTGTGCTCAGTTGTTCAGGATGTAAGGAAAAATGGAAAATTATGCGCTGAATTTATAGAAAATAGAAGATAATACCAAAATTTTGCTGTTTAGTTTCGAATTCGAAGGGTGGATTATACAGTGCGCCACACTCTCTCACACACTCACACTAGCATAGTTTTGTTATGCTTTTTTGCATAAATGCAGATGCAACCCAGGCTGGAAAGCGCCGGGCGGCCCTTGCGATCATGTATTTTTGCACCGGAATTGAAGTACTCAGGTTATTAAGTGCATGAATGGTTGTTGCTTCACACCTACCTTTTGTGCTTACTAGCATAAATCGCCATAAATCCTGCATAAAGTAAATGTACAATTTCCATTTAATGGTCGTCCTTTAAAAGTACCCCTGCTGTTCAGTGAGGAATTTTTCTGCCAAAACTTTTAAATGTCAGTACGTAAGAACTGCGCATACCTCAAGGCTGAATTTGAAATACTTAAGTTCTACTTGGACAGGGAACATTCCCCTAAATTTCAGCTTTCGAGCTTTTCTGGTTCCCGAGTTAGTAATTTTCCTACAGAAATTTTCATGCGCCCTTAAGTGAGTACCACGCGTAGCTTGCGGCTGATTTTGAAATATTTGGGTTGTACTTAAACAAGGAATGTTACCCCAAAATTTCAGCCTTCAAGCTTTTCTGGTTACCGAGTTAGCAATTTTCCCGCCAAAACATTCACATGCCCATACGTGGGTACGCCACACGCCTGGAAAGATAGATTTGAAATTTTTAAATTACATGCGGACGTGGAACATCCCCCTAAAATTTCAACCTTCCAGCTTTTCTGGTTGTCGAGTTAGTAATTTTCCTACAGAAACTTTCGTACGCCTTAAGTGACTACCACTGAGAGTTGGGGGCTGAATTTGAAGTATTTGAGTTGCACTTCGATAGGGAACATCCCTCCAAAATTTCAGCTTTCTAGCTTTCCTGGCACCCGAGTTAGCAATTTTCCCCCTAAACCTTTCAAACACCTTTGCGTGAGCACCACGCATACCTGGAAGCTGAATTTGAAATATTTTGCTAGCGCATGCACAAGGGATATCCCTACAAAGTTCCAGCCTCTTAGCTCGTATGGCTCCCGAGGTCGCTTTCCCGCTAAAAAATTTGTATATTTTTTTAAAGTAACCGTACACGGCACCCAGTGTGTCCTCGAGGGATGAAATTAAAAGGGAGGATCGCGCATGGTGTAGGCACATACTCCCAAAATTTCAGCCTTCTAGCTTTTCTAGATCTCGAGTTGAAAATGGGTGACAAAAAGTACAAACACACAGACGCAGACACAGGCACAGACACACACACACACGCACACATACACACAGCCTCTTCCCAATATGCGTTTTTGCAATTTGCATATATGCAATTGCGCATACAAACGCATATTAGCAAGAGGCTGTCTGTGCGCCTGCACTTTTTGTCAGTCACTTTCAACCCAAGGACCAGAAAAGCTAGAAGGCTGGAGTTTTTAAATTTGTGCCCACACCATGTACTATGCTCTCATTTTATTATTATCTGCGTACGCCTGGGACACACTTACGGGCGCCTTAAAAAATACGCAATTTTTTGGCGAGAAAACGATCTCGGGAGCCAAACAGACAAGATAGATAGTTGAAACTTTGCATAGATATTATATGTGCATATGTAAGCTAAAGATTTCAAACTCTGCTCCTAAGCGCTCATGGCTTTCACTTACGGGCACATGAAAGATTTGGCGGAAAAATTGCTAACTCGGTAACCAGAAAATCTGGGAAGCTGAAATTTTAAAGCAAAGTTTCTCGTCTACGTGCAGCTTAAAGGTTTCAAATTCTGCTCGTAGGTACGTCCAAGCATGTGAGATTTCTGACGGGAAAGTTGCTCACTAAGCAGTTGGGTCATTTTAAGGGAACAGCCGCTAAACAGAAACTGTTCACTTTCCTTTATGCAACATCTACGATGATTCTGCGGTAAAGAGCACACAAGGTGGATGTAAAGCTACAACCATTCATGCTTAACTATCTGATTACTTCAAGCTTGGTGCAGAAAGGCATGATTTTGTTGGCAGGCCTGGTGCTTTCCAGTTTGGATTTTGTCTGGACTTGAAAACAAGAACTGGTTGCCAAGATTTTTTCCTCGCGCGCAAAATAGGCCTTTACTCGTAAATTTTGGACTTCTATTTTTTTTTTTAGTTTTTGTTTCACGGAAGCTAACTGAATTGGCTTGGAGTAAAAGGTAGGACACAAAACAGTGTGAGTTGGATTTAAGTTTCTAAATTCGACAGCGCCATCTGCTGCTGGTAAATTTAGCGACCCTGCTTTTTTTTGTTCTGTTTCATACACTCTCCAGCTCATGCACATGTGACAGGCCTGTACAATACCTATGTGCTCAATGGTGAATTGATTTTTGCCCGTTGCAGTGAGATAAGAATCATAATTAACTTGGGCCCAGCACGTGACCTTTTCTTTTTTTTTGCCTGTTTGGAGTATTGGTTATCAGCTTATAGAAAAAAGTAATTAATTAAATA